GCATGCACCTGTTAGAGTACAAGGTCGCTACAAGTTCTTCGTAAACGCCATGTCAACTAAATGTCGTGAGAATTCACTCAAACTCCGAGGACCCCTATCCTATCTGGATGTCGGCAGCCATTCTCTCTCACAGCGAACAATTGATGCCCAGAACGGACTGCCCGAAGGCACTGTTAGGACATACCAATGATTAGCTTGCACGTACAGATTAGATTCATATTTGCTATCTGAAAATCGCAGATACCATCCGCAGGTTACGCACAAACGAAGCTGCGTGAGCACGCACTTCAGAAGGATACAGACTCACTGCAACATACCGAAAGGAACTCATACGGTAGGCCCGAAATCTGCCTGAAAGATTTATGCGCAGTGGCTATCAGAAAAGCGTTTTTAAGCCGATTCCTAAGCGCAAGGCCCCGGATAACCTACAGATAATCCTCATCGAGCATATGGCATAGACTGCCATAATTCAAGGACGTCTCAGAGGCGACTGAGAGCATCGCTGTGGGACTGGGTGCTGAAATTGTACACCAAACGAGAGCTACTACAGGCAGCAGGGTGATTAAAATCACAGACAGGACAGTCCCAACGAGACATCTGGTGGTATTTAAACACATCCTAGGCCCAATTTGGTCAAACTGAACGCATGCTCAGATCGCACCTATATGAAAAGAAGCTGGCTGTAGAACGTGGTGACGAAATATCGCAAGGTGCTCTTCATACTTATGTAACAGTTCATGAGTTTAACTTCGCAACCGTCGATATACACGCCAACACTGCGAACAAGGAGACAGGAGGATTAATCTAACCCTCGTCCACGGACGGGCACTAAATCAATCGATATATCGATTTTGGTCCGACGTACAGAGCCCTGCGCACGCACATCCAGACCTCTGTCACTGACAGTCCATTGGTGTAACTCGTCTACAATTACCCCGAATGTATTGAGGTTGCTTACCTCAGACGAAGCTCTGTGCGATGATTAAAACTAAGGACAATAAACCAATTGTTTCGGAGGTCGAAAAGCTCCCTTCATTACCCAGATAATATAAAGGTGGTTTATGTTAAACAACAGCCCGTCTGTGAGTACCACCTTCGAATTTTTCCTTGTCCCCAGTTTTGTTATGCCGGGGCACGATAGCGCATATGAAGAAATGTGATAACTTGCGTAGTTAGTTTGTGAGGGCGGGGGGACTCTATTGGAAACTGACCAGTGGCATAATCTAAGAGCTGTTTCGAACACTGTATTTTTTATGAAATTGTCTTAAATTGACCTGCTTTTCAAGTGGCGTCTACTTTTATGTTTTTATGGAAATCTTCCTGCGAGTTTGAAAGTTTTTGTCGCAAATTAAATGCGACTGACTCTCTATCATACTTCATGCTGACTATCTGCTCAGCCGGTTATTTCTCTGTTTACGTGCCCTGATGCCTTATGGAAGGGTTATCCAGAGATGATGGGTAGAGTGGCGAGGTCTGCTAATTGACTATCGCTGAGTTGCTTAAGAAAATGGCTGGGCCTGTTCACATTGCCCTAAACTGTTAATCGTGTTGTGAAGCCTGTGCGCCTCCAAGTTGTGTGCTTATAGCACTAACGTCGCGTCACTGGATGCGGCTGTAGTACTTCCTAGGAACCTAATTGGCTCACTTCTGGGAAACTTTGCTAGAATAAGCCATATCTTTTTTTCTTCTTGAAGCGGATTGGACAATATGTAATCTAACCTGAATTGGTTGCTACGTACAGACGCACGTGTTTGGTGATAAATCGTTTTTTGCTTACGTTAAGAAACGCAATAACTGATGAAATCCTATACTTGAGTTTTACAAAATTACTAATCAGGAGTTTTCCTTTATAAACCGGTCTCAGGCAGTGCACACGAAAGTACACATTCAGTAGAAAATGTCATGATCACTTCAGGATATATTAAAAACGACATAAAAGACTGTGCGCAACTTCTCCTACTGAAAGCATAAAGCTAGGAGTATTCCTACCCTGTACTCAAATTCAACAGTTGGTTTCGTTCAAACTACTGTAAGAATTAAAAAAACAATAAAACTTGAGCATAGCCTTCCTTGCAAGACTAAGAAGCGATTTTTGGGAAAAATCAAGTAGTTCTCGTGAATATTTGAGCTGGCGACCCCAACATATCATCGAACAGAATAGAAGAAAGTGAGGATATAAGCAAGTTAAAGAAGACAGTTTCACGCAACAAGACAGCTGGACCATTGGCAGGTAGGGGGGTGAGGCACGGTTTGTTTGTGAGCGGTGCAGGATGAAATGTCTACGGTGTAAACTCATATCGAATAAGAAGGTATATTTTGAGCATGCTTTTACTAGATCTTTTTAAATTTATCGGGACCTCAAAAAATTATCAAAAAGAAAATACTAATGAAATGGTCGTTATTGATCTAGGGTGAATATTATTAGCATTATTATGAGCGTTCTTGAGATATTCTTGCATTCTAGCATTCTTGAAATATTCCGAGACTATGCTCCTAGTTCGCGTGTTTTGCAAGCCCGCTTCACAATATTTTTTAATCTAAAGGGCACGTAAGAATTTCGCTTTACAGTTCAAAAAATCGGACACTAGAAGTGATTTGCCTCGAAAACGTACGGCAGAGAACAGAATAATGTCATTTTAAAACTTGCTAAGTGCTAATGTTCTTTACCTATTCGATTCAGTGATGCTATAAACTTAAACGTTTGAATGTATAGCCTAGATTATTAATATTATTTAAATCTTCTGAACCTCAAACTAATCTTCTCGCATGGGCACAGTTAACAGTCGTTTACTATATGCAATATTTACTACCCCGTCGTATGCATGCTAATTGTTACAGAGCTTCCATGATATCTGCTAACCCTCTCCGTTATTACCACCAGATTATTGATTAAAAAGTCCTTTATAACTAAAACACTTTCAAGAAGACAACATTTGGTTTATTGGATATATGTCAGGTTCGACCAAAGCCGAAGTCCAAGTGTTACCACCCAAACGACCCTTTTTCCTACAACATGCATCGGAAAGAATTGATTCCAAGTTCGAAATCAGGCCGCCCTCACTGCGTACCTACGGCGACTATAAGATTCAGATGAAAGTGGATACCAACTCACAAGAAGCACAGATTTACATGAACGACACGTATATAGGAAAACACCAAACAAATCTGGAAACTATCTGTAAGTCCACTTTTTGAATGAAATGTGTGATCCTACTCGCTGCGCCAGTTGGGCCATCGTGCAATACGATGTCCGCCATGTGCCGCAGTTAAAGCACAGCAGTTGTTTCTTATTCGAATAGGGATAAAGACTGCCTACTCGTTTACCACAAGTAGCATAATTTAATGCAATGCATGTGTATGTTTGCCCCTTGGTTAGCAGGCGGCTGGAGAATGATCTGTTTGGCGCATGCTCAGTTTGGTCTTAAATGAATCAGCACAGGTGGAGGGTACACACTCTTTGCGAAGGACGTTCAATGCTGCAACCACAGACAGACTATCCGTCTGGACAGCCTTTTGGCAGCCTTCCTTTCTTCACATCGTTGAACACCTTGGTATTTTAGAAGCACGTTCTCTTGCGTGCTAGTGTGTAAAAATTCACCCGAATATCGTGGGGACGCATTCTTTTAAGGCGGCGTAACCTTCTTCGCCCTTAACACGAGCCGGGTTTGTTTTACTGTACGATTAAAGTAACTACTACTATCGCTTCGTACTATGAACGTTAGTAACGATACAAGCAGCGAAAATAACACCATGAAAATGTATATCCATGTATGTTTGAAGGGTTACAAGAAATGAATGCTCTTGTGAACCCTTTTAGTATAAAATAACCAAATCGATTGTTTAATCAATATGGAGTTGAACACAGTTATCATAAAATGAGTGAGTTGGCGTGGGACATTGCGAAACCGTATGACTACAAGCTAGAGACGGGAAAATGTTTACAAGGCAGGCAGTAAGAAATCATATTGTAATAGTCGTCTTTTGTGAAATATTCTGATATCAAGACTTCTTTTAAAATCTGTCATGGTGTCGCCTGAAACTGTTTTTATTTCTACGCAAGACGTTTGTAAAGCTAAGTTTGTATGTGCAGTTTTTAATGATGCGATTGACTGAAAAATTATCTTTAGAACATCTATAGAAATAGCTGCGATGCTTGCTATTTCGTGTAAAAATAGGTTGGTATTTTTATTCTCTCGTAAGGATTGTTAAAACTAACAATAATGTCTATTGATATCATTATTTTTAACACTTATAGTAAGTGTCTTGCTACAGTACTAGTAAATATATGCGTGAGGATTCGAGGTCCAGATATCATAGTGTGTTCACCATCCCGCAAACAAGAGGACGAATAAGGTACCAGGACATGGACCGCTTAAGTTTGAGACTGGCGTTTCGGACACTCTCGGTTCCATCGTCAGAGTAACTGGCTGATTGTTCCTGTTCGCCGGGACTGTTGCAGCCTTGCCGCGTGCCTGCTATTATATCCGCACTCAATGCACGCACTTTGACCTGCCTTATCGATATTGATTGACCGTGATAGTGATCGCTGGTGAGCTCGTGTGATCTCTCCTTACTTTTTCGGCAGTCACAAGTCAGCGTACTGGCTGACGTGCTCATCGTCCACTGACGAGTGTTCCTGCCCACCTGAGTTGCTCTCAACCTCGTGGGCAAGGCGGTGATGTGGTTCCTGTCCGGCTTCTCCCCTTTTTACCTTCGAAACTAGTTATATTCTTCACTCGAGTTTATTTTGCTTTTCTGTTGGCCTTGTTCGAACTAACTCGAGGTTTCTGCGCAACGCCTGGTAGGTAGGATAGAGGTCTATGGCTCTGTTGAGTGTGCCAGTCAAAGATCAACTTTCTAGCAGCAATCTAGCCATTTTGTCATTTGCTCAGGCCAGGAGCCTTGTTTTTTCAATGGCGAAGACGTGGCTCTTCTGCTGTGCGTGGTCATAGACTATAGACTGCTTATCGTTGCGGTTGATTGCCTGTTGATGCTCGTGCAATCTTGTGCCCAGGCGTCTACTAGTTTCACCAACATACCTTGCATCACAGTCTTGGCATGGTTTGCTGTAGACCACACCGGATTGTTCTGTCAGCGGTAGCAGGTCTTTGGGCCACATGATTTGCTGTCTGATAGTTGACTCTTGCCTATGAGCCACACCGATCGCGAATGGTCTCAGGATTCTAGCAGAACTTGGGGTCCTCTCCTTTCGACTGCTCAAGGTGGGGCCTCTTAAGACACTTGCGTACAAAGGACATAGGATAACC